CACACACACACACACACACACACACACTTTGTTTTCACCACACCTTAAAACAACAGCATGAATATTCATGATGCCGAAGGACACAGGAGGTACATAATTAGACAATCACCAACTCCCAGATGACATGCATTACTACGACAGAGGAGAAATGCACCTTACTTCATCCTCCCCTCTTGTTAGCGGTGAAAGGGGAGTTGACATGCATTTCCACTTACTGGTGGTTAAAACTTGAGCTGGATAACTGGAAACAAAAGGGGGACAAATGCAGAATAAAAGGCTCTCCTTATTTATAGTGCAAAACAGGTGCTGGATGCATAGGTTAAGCTAAGGCAAAACAAACAGTGGAGTACCAGAGCAGAACGAGCTCTCAGTGTGTGGACTACCTAACACACATGTATGTTTCTCTACTAACAAATTAAAGATTTATATTAACAGCATAACCTTGACTGCTTTCTAAACCCAGGGCAATGCACGCTATTAACTCAGGGTTACACATCCATCAATTTAATACAAGATGCCTTTATGGAACCAGGACACACCCTAAACGAACTGCAACAAAAACACTCGCACGCGCAAGCATGTACAGAGAGCTGCCAGGCACTTGTTCACATGCATGCACACACCTGGCTGTGAACTATAGAGTGCATTTTGCAAGTCAGTCTATTTCTGAGGGCAAAATGGGTGCAGGTGCATCGAGCATTTCATTAAGACCATTTCTGGAGCAGGGGGTTGAAAAGTGGAGAGAAAAAACACACACGGGCGAATGGATTTATGAAACGGGGCTCAACAAACTTTCGAAAGCCATTCAAGGGTTCATGTGCACACATATACACATATACACACACAACCAAGCATGCGCACGTGATTAACAGCTGCTACATCTGTTAAAACTGACAATGTTATCCAAAAGATCTGCCACCCTAATCACAAACCCACATTCTTCACACTCTCTCTCACACACACGCAGGCTGACTAGTTTACATGCATACACACACACTCTCTCTCTCTCTCCTCTCAGTCCACCCTCTACCTCCCCCCCTCATCTTACCTCACACACACTTGGCTTACACACAACAAATTCTCAGATTTCCCATATTTAGGGAAATACTAACCTGCCTTGCCGCTGACACACACACATCCTCTTCAAGCAGTTCAGCCTTTCAAAGAGGATCCGTTTGAACGCGTCTATATACATTGACCCGACTGAGGTTAAATGACAAGCCAGTATACTTAATTAAAATGAGTTGCTTTGTTAAAAGGCAACGGCAGTAACAGTAGCAGCAGCAGTCCGGTGTATAATATTTTTTTTTAAAAAAGGTGTGGGAATGCAGTGGTGTGTAGATGCTGCCACTGTATCCCAGACAAAGTCAGATACGATGTGCGCGGCTGACGGGATATATTTGGACACTAGTGATGCTCTGAGAGCTGTGCTGATCTTAGAGAGAGAGAGGGAGAGAGGGGAGAGGAGAGAGAGGGAAAATAACACACACACACACACACACTGTCGGCTAAATGTGACAGCGGCCGCTCATAATTTGTAACAGCTGCTGCACTGCTGTGGGCAAACCAGCGTGGAGGATGGATGAAAGACGTGGTTACAAATGTTTAACTTGTGCAATAAGTGTCAATAATAATGGCTGGACTTACCTCCATGTCCGCGTTACTCGCTTCAAATCCTCCCTTCCTTGTTTGCGAGATGGTCCAGGTTAATTGTTTACGGATGCATAGTTATTTGATCGATGCAACTGCAGCAGCTAACAAAAAGACCAACATCGGTACTATCGATTTGACCGGGTAGAGGTGTCATTGAACTGCAGGCGCGGTGCTCCCGGGGCGTAAGTGAGAGAGACAAAATTAGATTAGGCTTTACTGTCCGGTTGAAAGTGCGGGTATAGGCTGCAGCTGGTGCAACTAAAATGGACTTTTGCAGCGATAGAAATAGTGAAAGCATAAATGGCAAGTGAGAAGGTTATCTTGAGAAGTTAAGGAGCACGGAGGGGAGGGAATAAAAGAGTTCAAAGTACCGCCCCTGTTAGGTCTCTTTGTACCTGCAGTAGCAGCAGCAGCAGCATCACTTTTCGCTTACGAGTTAAAGGCGTGAGAGCAAGATTTAAACAGGAGACTTTCTAAGCCACAATTGCGCTGCATGTTATTTAATCCAGCGCTGGCAAGCGTGGTTTCGTAATGGATATGAAAATCTGAGGTTAGTGAAGGTGAGAATCTAGGTTGTCCTTCAGGGATGTTGCAAGTATGTTTTGGGACGTATGGGAGCCCGGATACACCGCTGGCTACTGCTTTTCGAAACACGAATGAAAACTGATTTCAAATGCTTGTAAAATTATGAAAATAATGCAGAAATAGTCTTATAAACTTTACAGTTTAAAAATACCGACTGGAAATATTATATGTTCTTAAAATTTACCTAAATATTCCCCCAATATTTCAAATTAGAATGACTACTCGGTCCTTATTGGTTTTTAATTAAACGCAAACAATTTCACGGCACTGAGCATTATCAGGGACACGTGTTATTATAATATATTTTTCATCTATAAATATGAAAACTATATTCGTGAACTGTGAACATTTGTTTCCTCTTCTCTGTGGATTTTGAAAATTACAAAACAGGGACAGCATCGCCGTCAAAACTACTCTGTACCTTTAATTATGACGCATGACGGAAGATGTAGTAATCTTCAACTGGCTAGAGAACGTTCTTGTGCCGGGAATAAACTACAACTACCACAAGTCTTTCCGCGTACGTCATTTTTTTCTTTTTCACAAACAACAATGGCGTCGCACGGAGCAGATGCGGGTTCCTCCAAGCCCATAGCGTCTTCGGAGGAGCAGCAGGGGGAGAGAAAACCAGCGGCCGTGTCGTTTGGTTTCACCAAAACAGCCAGTAAATTTAAACCGTTAACGAGCGACGCTCAGGCCAAGAAAGATGACAGAGATTACCTGACAGGAATTCATGGACATGAGCTGCAAAGGTCGGCTTTTTCTGCTAATGCTAACATAACGTTTCGGTGTCATTTACCGGTTACGTTTCTAATCTTAGCTAGTCATTGTAATTACTGTGCTTTTTGACAATGAATAACTATGTATAATTGTTATATGGACACAGTTAGCAACGCAAACTGTTATTTTGAAACGGCCCCGCCTGACAGCGCTCTAATTTTGTACTTTGGTGCAGTTCAAAGCCAAGTGAGAAACCCAAGGAGCTCATCATCCCTCTGATCCAGAAGAACCGCTGGCACAAGCCGGACCAAGTGGGCCAGAACTCAGAAAATGGAGGCAAAACAGAAAACATAACCCAAGACAATGACTCTGTGGAGTCTCAAGCTGTTAAGGAGCTCATTGAAGGTTTGTGTATGTGTAGGAAGCAGGGCTGTGAGTACCATTAGATAACACAAATCGCCTAAAACTTCTCTTTACGTTCATAGATTCGCGGAGGCAGCTTGATCTGTGGCAAAATGGCCCTAAGTCAGAAAACATAAACCTCTCCATCCCCCTGTTAATGCAAAACAAAGTGCCAGAAGGCTTTGAGGATGGAGACCAAGTAAAGGTGGACCTGAGGCCTGAATCTGTAAGTATGGAGAGCAACATAAGGACATAAATTCTATTCTATTTGCTGTGCAGTTCACAGTATTATCTTGCCAATGTACACTGCTGAAGGGTATAATATTAATTTTATTTTTATACAAAGTTTAGAAGTATAGACAAGAAGCTGCACTATGTCTTTTCTATGTGAGGGTGGTGCAGGACATGGATGAGAACCGTGAGATAGTGGTGAGGTGTGCTTGTGATGGTGATGGACAGGATGACAGGTAACGTCAGGCAGGAATGAAAGTCAGTACAGTATACAATACAATACAACTTTATTTATAGAGCACATTTAAAACCCAACGGTATACCAAAAGTGCTTCACATAAAAGACAGAAAATAAGACATAAATATTATAAATATTAAATATTATAGGACCTTAACAAAGTTCCAAGTACTCTAACAGGTTAGTGTCACTAATACACAATATACAAAAACAGTAGAAAGGCACACACTAGAGAACAAGAATAAGGGTTTGTGTGATGGAAGAGGATGCCAGAGAAAAGGGTGAATGAAGTCCGATGAACTACTTTGGTGACTCCTAAAGGGAAAAGTTGATTACACAGACTTTTTTAGACATGCCTGTTTTTATTCATATCCAACTGTTTCTACTACAGCTGAACTGTACTGACTAAGAAATGTGAAAATTCCAGAGTGATTTGGGCAGCACAATGGTTTCCTCACACCAAGGGGTCCTGGGTCTGAACCTGACAATTAACTGGGACTTTGCATGTTCTCTGTGTTCTTGGTTATTTTAGCTACTTTTCAAAGATGTGTGTAAGCTTAGTTGAGGTTATGTTCAGGATGTTTCCCACCTCTCAGCCTATGACAGTTAAGAAAATAAATGATGAAATAAATAAATGTGTAGAAATATAGAATTATTTGTTTTGATGATAATTTTCTAGAAATCACCCTTTTTGCAATATATTTAAACAAATTTTTATACTTAAAAAAATGGTGAAAATGGAATTAATGGATAAAAATGCAAATAAATAAAAAAAAATACATAAATAAATAACATGCAGTATGGAATTAAAAAAAACACCATCAAAATGAACATTAAGGTCTGTAGCCACACAGTATATTTGGAACTACAAAGAACTAATATCTGATTGCGACAGCATTAAAGGGCTTGAACGTGAAAAACCTGATGATATATCCTAAAAGACAGCTTCTTATTAGATGTTGAATTTCAGTCTTTGCTCAGGGAAAAGTCTGAAATGAACCATAGAAATTACAATTTAAGGAACTGATACATAACTCTTGTATTAAATTTAAACTAGGTGTAAAAAAAAACCCCCCAACTTTAGTTGTCTCAAAAGTTAAAAAAAGTGACTCTAATATGACAATTAACTGGAACAATATTGCATTTACAAAATGAATTCTGTTTTTTGTTTTGGGATATAGCCCATGCATGTTGAAAAATATATACATAAATTGTTTTAAATTAGTCAAATTAGTCCTGAAAACATACCTGTGTAAATTTTGGTCCCCACTTAGATTTCTGTATGGACATGAGTCCATATCCTATTATATTTCAACAGTGTTGAGATATAATAGGCATATTCAAATACCTATTATATTGCCCTTACAGTTAACCCTGCATTGTTTTAAAACAACAAAAACAAAACAAAGTAAAGCAAAACTAACACTGAAACCAATAAAAACATAAAGATTTTTAAACATTTTTAAAATAAACGGAATTTAAAACAAAACAAAAAAATGTTGAATAAAATGCTAAAAATAATGAAAAAAGGGAAACTATTATGACTGTATCAAATGTGTATAATCTACAATATAATCTATTAGAAAGCAGTGAGCAAATAAAAAAGCCCGACAGTGCAAACTGTCTGGTAGACTGGCTGCTTTGACTCAGACTGAAAGTGCTGACTCTGGAGTGGGAGACACCCCTGCATACATACACAGCGACACACACTTTGTCATTACAGTAAGACTTTGGTAGCAGGCGAGCATCAGAGTCTCCCAGAGACATAAAGGCAACCATTTGGGTCTCTCTCTGTTTCTTTTCATGTAAAGGCCTCACATGTCTTCTCACTGTCAGCCCATATCTGCTCTGTCACTGTGGATGTGACTAGCAAAACACGAGAGTCAGGGAAAATTTGCTCACGGTGCCCCTGAGCTCATTTTCATGCAGTATCCTCTGCGAGGGCTCCCAGCCCCCTTTAGAGGAAGACCTTCAGTGGAGAGAGATGAGCAGGGCTACTGCTGCTGTAGCTGCGGCCTGTTGACTCTGAGTCAGCCGGGACCGAGTCTGACAGCCTGTGGCCAAAAGGCTGAGTAAGACCGGCATGACAAGCTGTTTCTCTCTGTCAGCTGCAACAAACTTTTTTTTTTTTGTGTGCTTTATAAGTCAAAGATTACATAAGCACCTTGTTTAGCCCGCTGGGAATTTTTAATGCAGACTGTGATGTCTGAATTTTTGAATATAATATGCTTTAATTTCCAAAATAATTTTGCAGTATTTATTTGTCAGTCAACAGAGGCAGATTATGAGCGTGTTCCTGTTGAGGCTTATGGACTTGCAATGCTTAAAGGGATGGGTTGGAAGAAGGAGGAAGGCATTGGACGTACCTTTAAACAGTAAGTAACAAATTGATAGTTCTGCTACACTGACGTTTTAACGCAGTGGTGTTTAAATGTATACTGAAACAGCAAGTCAACTGGCAAACAATTAATTGGCAGCTGTTATGATTGCTGTATAACTGATTAATTCCTGTGGATTTTCTTATTAACCTACAACAGTGGCACAGACTATAAAACTAAAAATAACTAATAACTGTGCATTATTCTTCACCTACATAAAAGTAAAGCATTTAAATCTTTAGCCTGTTTTACAACCTGAACATGTCTATTCATGTCTATTGATTTATTCCTGTGCCTGCCTAACTGCTATAGAGATGTGAAGCCAATTGAGCACCAGCTGCGTCCGAAAGGATTGGGTCTTGGAGCAGATCGTTCGGCAGTAAAGGACCTGGAGCCCAGCAAGCATCAGCGTCCCCCAAAGCCAGGCGAGGAGCGGGGAAAGGAGGAGGAGCTAGTGATGGGTCCCGGGGGTTGTGTGCTGGTACAGTCGGGGCCACATAAAGATCTCTATGGCAAGGTAGAGTTGATCTAGAATCTGTGTGGAACAAAGTCAGCATTTCCCACACAAGGACTGTATTAGACATGCTAGCCAAGTATATTCAGTGACTCATTTGGGTATTTTTATTTATTTATTTTAACTATACAAGTGTATGATTCAATTGTAGATACTCTTCTCACAATTATTTTGCAAGTTCAGTCTGCTAACAAGTCCGCCCCCCTACACCCTTTCACTCCATAGCAAATGTAAGAGATTCTAATTGGGGGTAGAGTAGAAATACAACAGCAGCCTTTGAGTCTTCCTCACCTTCCTGCACCGGAGACAGAGACTTGTAACGAACATCTTTGGCAATTTATTCTGCTGTCAGATTATTGAGATCTTCTTCACCTGTTATAACATGCACCTATTTTATTTCATTTTCTGAAATCCCACACTCTATCTTCTTTTTCATTACCACCATATTTGTATTTTATCATATGAAGAAAAATAAATAAATAATTATGAGACATTTCACAAAACCATGTATAAATCGTGGGTTGTATTTATGAAATAATCTCATGGAACTCATTTTTGTGCAGCTATAGTAAGATGGTATTTCTGCACTCATTGAGGAGGGCTGCGCAACACATTTTGATTAAAGGCTAGTCAGTTTGGAACTGCTTGTCATGTAGTGTGTACCCTAATATAGAATCACAGACAGTGGCAACATGTAGGGGCTGGAATGGAGTTGAGCGCTTGATGTTTGAAAACTGGTTCACTTGTTAGTCATGTGTGCCGTGGTTGAAAGGACTCCAGTTTCACCATCTTGGACTAGAGTAGTGATATAGTCCTTGTTCAGCTCTGTCGATCTGCTGCAAGCTGGAGCAGAAGCCCCCAGCGAACCAGAACCAGCAGCAGATGGAGAACTGGTTCATGCTTCAGTACACAGAGCAGAACGAGGACTATCGTTCCCATCTGCAGTCAAGGCGTGGAGCTGGAGTCTGTCCAGTGGCCACTCACTGTGGGAGGCAGCTGTTTATATTGTTCAGTTATTTGTTATAAAGTTCTTGGCTATCACAAACAGGTGCATACACGCACAGGCGTGCAAATACTTAGACATACACCAGGTTCTAACGTTAAACCTGTAAGAAATGTAACTGAAGTTAGCCATTTGTTTTGTACTACCCACTTCTATGTATTTTTCTTTGCCTGAGGTAGATAGAAGGTGTTGATCCAGACAATGCTCGAGTCATGGTGAAGTTGGCTATTGGCAGCAAGGTTGTGACGATTAGCCAATACGCCATTAAACTGGTGGAGCGCAAGGAATATGAGAAATACAGCAAAGATCTCAGTGAGTAACTCTGACTTTTAAAAAAGTGACCTTTATTTTTTTTCCTGCATAACGAATTGGAAGAAATCTCACTTAAAATATGGTGACATTTCATTAAATACCAAAATTCTGTTTTGTAAAAGACTATTGCTATTGTAGTTACATATAATACAGATTAATTTTTTAATTAAATATCTAAGGGATCCTGCTGTTATGCAGTGTTCTGGGAATCAGACTTATCCTTTTCAGTGACATTTCACCGAACAGAGATTTAGCCACAGCCTGTACTTACGTTAGCCAGCAGTGTTTTTCCTAGAATGAAAAGGCCATGAAGAATAACTCTTTCAGTACTTTTGTCTGTGTTTGCAAAAAAAATTTTTTTTTAATGCCATCTAATACTGCTTTTCCCCCAACAATTAGGTCGCCTCAGTAAAGCCCACAAAGACAAGGAAAGGGAGAAAGAGAAGGGAAAGGATCAAGAGAGAGAGCGTCAGAGGCGGGAGGAGAACGAGAGGAGTAGTAACGGCGACAAAGTAAAACACAAGTCCTCAGAAAGAGATCGAGAAAAAGACGAGAAGAAGAGGAGACACAGAGAATCAAGTCAAGACAGGTACATTTTCACTAAGAGATGTAATATTTCAATAATGAGCATTTTAAAGTGAATTATCTGATGTTTTTTTACTTACTTTATCATTTTAACAGCATGTTCTCTGCTTACATGTGTTCATCTGCTGTTTGTTTTGTAGAGATAAGCCTCCAGTGAAAGAAGCAAGGCGACCACCAGCTCCCCCGTCCTGGCTCCAGAGAGACCTGAAAGTTCGCTTTATAGACAAAGCGTTCAAAGGGGGCAGGTACTACAATTCAAAGGTACTCCAGCTTTATTACACCTTTCTATGTCAGTTATTAACAGCTTTGACTTAACAGATTTTAATGTGTTGAAGCTACAGGCAGATAAAAAAAATTAAAGGAAAGGGCAAGCTGATAGGGAATCACATACCGCCACAGCTTCATTGTGCCTTCATTAGATTTTGGTGGGATTTTTAACTTTTCTGACATTTAGCAGGCTTAAACGGTATAACGAACTAAACAATTCCTAAATAACATCAGAAATACAAATTTATTGAAATAATTATTCATTTCATGAATGTACTACAGCCATACAGCCAGCCCACACGTCTCACTGTTGCAGTCTATGTGACACTGCATTCCTGATTTCTCCATTCTCCCTGTTATTGGAATTCATAAATAAGAAAGGAGGAAAATAAAACATTGTGTTAGCCTTGCGACAGATTGGCGACCTGTCCAGGCAGCACCCTGCCTCTCGCCGTAAGACAGCTGGGATAGGCTCCAGCCCCCCCGCGACCCTGAAAAGGATAAACGGCACAGAATGGATGGATGGAAAATTAAACAAACACCATCTTATGACGTGAACTTAGTTGGGAAATAATTTAATCTAGAAATCTGGGCTGGGGACAACACGACACTTGTAGAACTAAGTGGTCTCTGTTTTGTTGGTTTGCTCACCTGCATCAATAAGGTGGAGTTTCAGGACTTGCTCCATTTACTACTTGAAGTTGTCATTGTTCACAGCTCACTGAGCTCAGTTGCCACTGCTGGTAGAGACTGCCCTCTGGTGGCGTTTCTGGGCGGCATGCCATGATAGATAGCTTTATAGAAATAGATGGTCTAGTTTTGGGTTTTTTTTTTTTCTGTGACAGTATTGAAAATCCTGCTGTCAGGATTTCTAAATACCTTACAGTTCAGCTCAAGCCTACTTTGCACTGACTCTCTAAGTCTTTGAAATTCTACCGAGGCCATAAATCATTCTTCTGAAAAAAAATTCTCCCATTTGATGCTTTGATGATGGTTTTAGAGAGTACTAATATGACATGAGTAGTTGGTTTAAGATTTGGTGACACATCGAAGTGTGGCTACTTGTTTACCAGTGATGGGGTCATTATCATCCAGGAAGAGCCCACTCCCACTGTGATAGAAATGTTAATCCCCCAGAACAACTTTGTATTAAGTGCGGTAACCCCAACAGGGACAGAAAAATAGCCCTCACAGCATAAACAAGCTGGATATACCCTCATTGTAAGGTTAGGGACTCAGGATTTTCCTTTAAATTGTTAGCGGTGTGCCAGTTTGCATTAAAGATGGCTTTATTGGATGTGAAAATAAAGGACTAGAAAGCCCTTTTTAATAGCCTTTTTTAGTTTTCACACTCTATATAGAAAACTTTTAATCCTAAGCAGCTAAAATAGACGAATCACTGCTTTGTTATCATCATGTAGCATGTCAGAAACTACTTTATCTTTCAAGTGTGTTCACTTTTTTGAGAGTCAGACATTAGTTGTAGTTAGTTTTAAACCAAAGTATCGGCATTCACAGGAAAGCCACAGAATGTTGCTGTGATAATTGCAAACCTTCAGTTTCCGTCAGAGCTCTTAAAATAGGTCTCGTTTTTGTGCAGATGCAAGTGGAGGATGTCCTGACGCCGTCTACCTGTGTGTGCCGAACTGAAGAGGGAAGACTGTTAGACGGTGAGTTATTAGTGTGATCTCGGGCTTGCTCAGTGTTATTTTTCTCAGTCTGTGGCGTTCGTGTTTTCTGTTGCCTAATTGGAGCTTGTCAGGAAATGTGTAAAATGTGTGCTGTCACTGTCTCTGTTGAATTCCTTATTCATCTAGCAAGTTAAGGTGTTTTTAGCTGCTCATAATTTGCATGAAAAAAGCTTTTTATGTAGTATATTTATATCGTACATAGTATAAAACAAGTTATAAATTAATCACTGTTATTGTGAGGTGTTTAAGGAATAGACAGATATGACTTTTTTTGTTAGAATTTGAAGGAAAAGTTTGGCTTTATTTGTTTTTGAAGGTTTGTTAAATCTCTTTTTTTTCCATTTCTTTGCACATAATGATGAATAAGTTATAATTGTTGACCAGTAGATTAACTTGTAATGCTCATTTTCTTTTCCCTCAGGTTAAGTTTTCCAGGTCTGCACCTTTGCATATTTAAATATAAAGGTGTATAGGTGCTCGCAGCTAACTTTCAACAATGCAAAGCAAATATGGATTTTTAAAAAATGGTTGAACTATCCCTTTTGGCACGACCGAATCTCCAGAATAACCAGTCTTCTATACTGTTTACAGTTAGTTAATTTGAGAGATATGTACAGTTTTAATCTGTTAGGATTATACTCAGATCTTTTCTGTCATGATGAGTTTTGTTTCTGTGTTTTGTTTGAAATGAACTTCATATTGTCCTGGCTGCAGTTGTGCTTTCCAACAGCTAACTTTACACAATGCTATCATGTCAAATCTGTCACTTTAAAATCATGTCATCATAAAAGTGTTCAGAATCTTTAGGCGCAGGACAAGAATCTGTTTGCAGATTACTTACAGGTAAATGGTCCTGTTGAAGAGCAAGGGGAGGGATTACTGATTATTGTTATTGCCTAAATATAACCTTGAGTTAGAATAATATTTTTACATTTTATTTGTTCTTTAAAATGTATTTGTTGCAAAAATAATAACAGGACTTCTTACCACAGATATCTGCTGGCTATGGTGGAAGCATTGGTTATTGTTCTGAGAGGTTGGTCTGCTGATTTAAATCTGGCAACCAGACTTCCCTGATTGGGGATTAATTTGATTCTTTTTCCTTATTGGTTATTAGCAAACTTACAGTGGCTTGCAAAAGTATTCGGCCCCCTTGAACTTTCCCACATTTTGTCACATTACAGCCACAAACATGAATCAA